AAAACGCAAGATTACAAAGATAACTGAAACAACCAAACTCAAAATCTATTGGGAAATATTTCTTATGCAACTTGAAAAAAATCGAGCCAATGACATTTCCCCGCCCAGGCAGAATGACTGTAAACTCAATCATTAAACTTAAACGTATTAAATATCCAACTCTGGCTTCTTGACCCCTGAAATTGCTCTCCCTGCAAATGAGCTTACTTAAAGAGCCATCTTATCTGCGTAAATTAGTAGGTTTAAATAAAGGGAGATCTGATAAGAACTCTTTTCTAATGTAAGGGATGTGAGCGAGTACACTTGCAGTTGAGATTAATGTATTTTAATACCCACTTTTCAAACATATTTGTTGTTCACATGACCCAAATATGAAAAACTCAGCGACCTCGGTGGGATTCGAACTCATCGCAGCAATAAGGCTTTGGTGCAGTCAATGCTCTAGCATACTGAAGTACGAGACCCCCACCGATAGACGTGTGTTTAGTTACACAATCGGGTCAAATAATTTACTAAAATCTGCCTAAATCCCTTACTCATTTGTGGTTGTCTAAGGTACACTAGCCACATTCCCTGCTTTGACATAGAATGGCAACTTCCCCTCCACGGGTTTCAGAAATTCGAAGACTCCCGTGGTGTGGTTCATGAAAAGTTAATAGGTATAAAAGTCAGGTATTCAGTGTACTTCCTGTAGTTTCTAATTGCCGGAGAGGGGGGTTCTTACTAAGTTTTGGAGTTAGATTTATACCCCATATCTGCGCATGCCTCACACTATCCTACCATTACATATGAATAAGGATTCCCGACGGAATCCGAAACGTCAGAAAAATAAACCTCTTGTTCCTGTGGCCACTTCTCCTTCTTCTGCACTGTCAGTCAGATATATCTATATGGTTTACCTAACCGTCCATGGGTTTAAAGACGACAACGAACAGATTTTTGCCTAAACGTTGGTCACTGCTATACAGTGCTCAGTGCCGTCAATGCTAAGCTGCCACACATGTCCTTAATCTACAATCCCGATGGATGCAACCTTCACTTTTGTGAGCGAGCTCCTTCTACAGTTAATTTAGTGGCACATACATTTAGTACTTGCAAGAAAAGACGATAAATCTATAGATTTATCTATAGCAGTACTTTATTAGTCTTGAAATGAGGCGATAAGGTAGTAGTTTGTAGCTGACATAGGCCAAATCAGTTAGTTTCTAGGCTTTTAAGTGAGTTACGTTTTTTAATATTACCTCTATATACATTAGTCTGCTACCATGCCTACCCAGAACTCATTGAAATTTTTGCTTAAAGGCGAAAATCCACCTCAATATTATCCAAAGTCCATCCTTGCTTACACTCCATTTTGCGGGGTCAGAATTCTTATATTTGTGGCATACTACAACTTCCTTGCTGCAACAGCACGTTCCACGTAATAAAAAGTGATGGCCATGACATTATGAACCTGATCTCTACAGGCTAGCATGCTGTTTCTTTGAGGATCAACGATACTCCTCGTAATTGCTCCTGTGGAATTCGAATAAAAAGACGTTCAAACGCCGTGAATACAGCTGGAGAAAACCTACTTTAATTTTGGTTTCAGAGGCACCTGTGTCAGAGTATTTCACGCTATCACTTAATATCTCTTGAGGACATTTATTCCAAAAAAAGATGTAGGGGTGATCGTCGGTACAAAAACGTTATTCGTCCGACGTCTCGGATTCATTTTCAAATCCCTGCTCCCAGACCTCATTAGATATGATCTATCCATGTACAAGGATTTGCAGTATTTATAGTATGCAGTCGCTTTCCTACCACATACTCACGCCTCACTCTTCATTAAGGATGGCTGCCCTCTAGTACAATAATTGCTTAGGAGGGTGCTATTAAGTGTCATAGGTATGCGACAGCATATTGCCTGCATTCTATGTATACTGCAACTCTCTGTGTATGAGAAATCCGTATCTGATGATTCACTCGAGCAGGAATCCGATTGCGTCCCAGTGCTTACTGGGACTTGCATGTTCGCTTATATCGGCTGTCAGTAATGGTAGGAAATAAGTTTTGGAAACCAGCTCTGACTCATAATGTGGTATTTTTTTATGCACAATTCTAGGAAGAGCAAATCTAATGGTGTCATAACTCTACCACCAAACCTAAATGTAATTTTAAGTTCACCGCTAACCCTACTATCTCTGAAAAAAAACCGCAAGGCTTCTACAACTGGAAGAGGGCTCTTGATCCCGTATCTTGCACCTAAAATTGCCGGATTGCTTGGAAATAAAAGTTTATTTGCTTATCGTATAAATATGATAAAGAAAGTTTACCTCGTCGTTTTTACTTTGAACTAAAAACATAATATATCTCGATACAATATTTTTACATAATGTTAAGTGCGATAAACGGCAAAAGGTCTGCCATCCTTGAACTAAGAGCTAATATTTAATTAACGTCAAAAACCTCTATACCTATGAACGAAGAGAAAGATTTGCGCTCAATTTCTCGCAGCTTAGGCTCCTAGTAGGCATAGGGGGCAAGGAGAATCGATTAAGAGTGAAACCCAAACGGCTACAAAAGTTATAACTTTAAGGCTAGTGGATTATTTTTGATGGTTTATATGGCCTCCTGAAGAGTTGTCTTACATTCTTAATCTCATAGTGCTCCTTTCTCAGGGTAGCAAGAATCCTACTGAGTTCGGCCTTATAGCCCTCCTCCTGTTGGAATTGCTTTTCAGCCTCGAGCATCATTTGTTCTGCCGTCATTTTACTGTCAGTGATTACCAACAAGCGTTGCTGCAGAATATCAGATTGTTGAGCCAAATCTTCCAATCTAGAGTAATGTAAAAATTTAAAAAAGATAATTCGATGCAAAGGAAAAACGCGTTAATTCAGCCGTAAGATTCATTTGCTTGGAATAGTACTGCACTGGAAAAAATCAACTACGGAAATTCAAACAAACGATGGCTGGAAGTAGTAATTGGGGCTCTGGATAATATAACCTAATGTAGCAAGTACATCCAGTGTGGTTTGGTTGTGAAAAAATATTTCTAATATTTAGGTGCGACAAAAATGCTAATTTTCTATGCGAATCAAAGAGTCCTGTGTCAGCTCAACACGCCGGTCTGAGCGTGATATTCCTTTAAATCCCATCTGGTTTTACTAAACGGGCGGGTCACTGGTCCACAAAAAACCTCAACAGTGAACAAAGCAATAACTCTTCAAAAATTCCCTTTAGCCATTCGAGCAACACATTAGTTTGAGAAAAGTTAGCAAACTGGCCAGTGACACTGCTTGACATCTGGAAATGATAGAGAAAATATGATTTTCGTTCAATGTTTAAAAGTACCAAATACGGATACAAGGAAATCAGTCACATGTGTATGGGTAAAAGTGTTTAATAACAAAATTAAGGGAGACTTCGATGACTATTTCTGGATTATTAGCCGTCATCAGCAGGGCGTACTCAGCTTCAGGTGTAACGGCATCGAAAGCTCGAACCCGCGATCTGTTAATTAGAAGTCCAGCGCTAAGAACGCGCTGTTTTATCGATTTCGCTCGGGAAAACTAACAATGATGGATGGACGCTCACCGATCGGGAGCAACGCACCGTTCTCTGGTGGCTGGGTGTTGACTCCTGAGCCCCGCCAACCGCCACTCAACGCCTTACATATATTATGAGCAGAAATACATTACCGACAAAAACAAGAGATACTGGAATGGCCATTTTTGGCTTAGTAGCCTCGGGGGCGGGTTCTCATGAAATTGAGTATGGCTGGCTGATGCGGCATAATTAGTCAGAAATAGCCATTCCAGCCCGCCATGTCTTTGTCGTAATGTATTACTGCCTATAAGATATATACGCATATTTAATAATGATCGTTCTCTAGAAACATCGTGCAATACTATTATGTGTTCTGTCCTTATCACTGACAGCAAATGTACTCTTCCGTCGAAATGTGTACATATACTGCCGGAAAAATAAACAGAATATAGGAAATAAGACATGAAACTATAGGTACAGTGCTACGTGTAGCTACTAGACGTTATCACGAGTTAATCCTCATAAAGCAGCTAGAAAATTGTGACGAAAAATTATTTTTCTTCGCCTTATTATTTTTTTCCAGGCAAAAACAGAAGGCGTTGTTAGAACGCATATTTTCACCTGAATTAATGATATAATCGGCATTAGCACTACGCCAGAACTGAGAGTGCTGAGAGCTTTATGGAAAAGCAAATCCTGCATTTTAACATGATTTAACTTTGGATTAATATCTTGTAAATTATCGAAACTTTGCTTCACTAAAAAGAGGGCTCTCGAATTGACTACAAAACCTCAAGAAAAATCATTATTTGAAGTTCGCCGCTACTTGCGAGGAGGCCATTCGCTCTTTCTAAAGCAAGTGCCGGCAGTTATTTTTCCTGTTTGCCATAAAACGAAGCAAATTTATTGGGCCATGGAAGTGGTCTTCACTAGGATCCACGTGGTTTTCATCAAGCTATTTACAATCAAAAATAAAGGCATTCTATTTCAAAAAAATCAAGACTAAAGCACGGTAAAACCCACTTTTCCTGGTTCTCGCGTTTCCTGGCCTTCATTCGTGAAATTTCCATTCGAATGGATCCGAGATCTGACTCCCTGCGGTCGATTCCGCATTTGAGACCTTTCAACTGAGAAGGTAAAACCACCGTATAAACTAGGAAGAAAACTGTGTTTTTTTCAAAACTGACAAACATAACAAGAACACCTTTCCATAACGGAACCGTTTTGACCTACAGATGAAAAACGTACTTGCCAGTGCTTGAAAATGATGCAGTTGTTACAGAGTACCTCGTCAGCCATCGCATCTTGATGTATGTGAGGGATTTGTATTTTATTTGGGGCACAAGCACCCTTTGGTATGATTAAAACCACTACAAAAATATCCATCGATTTTGTATCGAAAGAATAAATAAACAACAAATCCTACTTTAAAAATATGAGTAACCTACAGTTAAAAAGTTCCTATGACGTTTTCGCACCTCAAGTTTTAAGAAGTTGTGCATGGCAGAAGGAGAGACAAATAAGTTAAATACTTGCTTGCCTCTTTCTCCAATTCCTCCATTTCCATCTTGATCCTGGAAATTTCCTGTCTAAGTCCTAAGATGATCTTTTCGTTACGCTCGATTTTTCTTTGCGCTTCCTTGTTATTCTCTTGTTGCGAGGCCAGGAAAGCAGTTTTTTCTCTGCAGATTGCTTTGTCGGAATTTAATTTCTCCAGCAGGTCTCCATAGTGCTATAGATAGGAAAACCAACTTCATTCTAAAACTCTTTGCCTTCTTAGTTGAAAACCTTAAATATTACAGAAAGATTGTCACATCATTTGGTTCAGTTCAGCTTATTTGAGAAAAATGGACGTTCGTTTCGAAAGCCCGTTTTCTCACATCAAAATCAGAAGAATTAGCATCAGTGTTTATAAAAACAGTCAAATTTGGACACAGACTTTGGATCACATGAGCGCTTTTGTTTTTTAAGGTTGTATATATCTGCTTGCAGCTGCAGTATGTGTCACTCAAGTTGAGGCTTCAACATTTTCGTAGAATGAGACATTGCAATCGTTTCAAGCTAGTTCTTCCATGGCTTTGTTGCATATGTGAGAATAAATGCGTTGCTATATAGAGTCTTAATTAACCCACACGTACTTCGAAGGGATGCCTGAAGGTTAATTGCAGAAATGAATTGGAAGAAATCAGAAGGGTGCATTGTCATCCATGAAGTAGATATATACATCACTAAGGAACTCTAACACTTTCCAATGTATTGACTTCAAATATTCATCCAGGCGCAAAATCGAGTTTCCAGTCATTATCGCGCCCTCAACTCATTTAACATATTGCAGCCAAATTCTATTTGAACTAAAAATCACAAACGTTTTTCTAGCTGGTCAGTGAAGGCCAATGAAACTAAACAAATAGGCATCGTGGAGTCGCGCAGAAAACAGTTATTATATGCTCCTACTGTGTAAGTAGCCATAGTCTTTTATTACGCATCTGCTAGCTGATAGGGAAACTGAATGAAGAAAACTGTTCTTCTTTATCATTTGCATAAACTCCTAGAATGTGAACCTTTGCAGCTATTCGTGATAAAGAAACTGCTTCTGAAGTAATAACCCCCAAAATTCGACAAGAAAACTGCAGATTCATAAGGCAGTATAGCATCTGGCTCAAAGGAGCAAAATTTACCATACATCTTCTCAGACATAGTATTCAAAATGCACTCTGGGACTTCGTCTCATGGAATCAATATAATTTTCCAAGTTATGAAAACTAGTTCAACCGCTGAAGGCCCACGCACAAAAATGGGGGCTGTATCATCTTAAAATAAAGGAATAACCCAAGTGAATGACAGCAAATCGCTTAGGCTCTTCGAATGAGAGAAGCCTAACCAAAAAACTTAATAAGGCAAAAAGATTTTCAAGAATCGGACAAATCGCTTACTTCAAATTACTAACCTGTGCTAATTTTTCCACTTCTTTCTCACGCTTTCCACAATGTTCAACTGTCTTCTCCCAGTGCACAAGCACATTCTGTCGTTCCTTCACAGCGTCGCGTTGAGATTGGCCCATTTTTTCGATCGAAACCTGTAAACAATTCCATAATTGTATCAACAGAATGCCACACGTAACAAAATTTCACAATTTATTCCGTGGTTTGTGACCGCTGTATTTCCAATATAGGCTGCGGCATAATTAAGTCATCTGTAGTCTTTAACATGGGATGTCAAATATTAGCACTGGAGGCTATATAAGTGCAACTTTTCCGGGACCAATCAAGTATCATTCCACCTTCGGTTTCGTACAATGGAGTTAAAAATTATTGATTGAATGAATCTGGGCTGCTAAGCATACTTCATGCATTTCCAGTTCAATTCGCCCCTTTGTCAACAAGCTCTTCTTCCGATGGTACTCAGTCGTAACCTTTTCAAGGCTGAGCGACAGCTCCTAAAATGGAATATAAAATGATAGAGTGAACACAAAGTATGTGTTGGGGAGACCAAAATTGACGTGACACGTGGTTGTGGGGACCTTTGTCCTAAGTAAAAGAGCAGAGAATTACATCATACTCGTTTTAACTCACCTTGATTAATCTATCATCCATGTGATGATATTTGTTGATTGCAACAATATCGTCACTTTTACGTTCATTTTCGTCCATCCACAGCTCCAGCGTTTGGGCGTCAATGTTCATTTTTCGCTTTGCACTCTGTATTTCCAGATTTTTCTTTAGAGCTGTATTCTAATGTAAAAATAAAAACAAATGTTTACTGAAGTACGAAATAATTATGTATATAGACTTTGTGTACTGGATGTGACTCACTTCGAGTGAAGTCTGCTTCTCTTTCATCTTGGTTATGCCAGTTTTCAATTTCCGTAGATCGCCGCCAATGCGTTCCCGCTCTCGCTCACAAACACTTATTATATTCTCACTTGTTTCCAAACTGCGACAGTAACTAGCGTAGATTTGTTGAATTTCTTGAAGTTCATTTGTAACCTGGTCGCGATGAGATTTCATCATGTCTACTCTGCTGTGTAGAGTATCAAATGCATCTTTGACCGACTGCGTTTGCTGTTTGATCTGCTCTAGCTGTAATATATTAAGAAAAAGCCTTTTCTTGGCCCAGGTATGCAGCATATTAGGTCAAAATAGTCAAAATCTGAACATGCCTGGAAAACTACATAGCAGCAAAATGCTAATCAAAAAAAATAAAATGTACGTGTGTAAGTTAATGTGACGCTTCATTGTCAGTAAGCGGGCACAAACAGGCAGTTTTGTATATATAAAGGTAAGTGGACGCTCATCGATTGGTACTGAACTAACTCATTCCGTACCGCTCGGTGAGCACCATTCTATCATCGCATGTTCCCGATCGAATCCGACAAGAGCATGGTTCAGTGGCTAGAGCGTTGTGCTTCTAATTAACAAGGTTGCGATTCCAAATCTCGAGGATGGCTATACCTGTGGTTTAGTCCGGCTGACTGATGACAGTAAGTAGGGGTAATGGTAATTACAGTCCCGCATGTCTTTATCGGTAATGTATTTCTGCATCCGATCTATCAAATGGGGGCACAGACTTGTCCTGAAGTGGATCCGACAAAAAGAAGGCAGACCAGAATGGCCACTTCTCGCACGTTAGCCGTCATCAGCCAGCCATACCTAATCTCAGGGCTCGGTACCCCCGAGATTCGAATCCAGGACCTTTGGTCATTGAGTTTAACATTCTATCTCGACCCTATGCGCTCGTTGCCGTGTCGGTTGTGATCGTAAATATGATGGAACTGGGGTGCTCATCCGATATATGCGATCTTTGTCCCGGAAGTGCCTTAAAGCTCGTACATGTGT